TGATTCCCCCTCCGAATTACCGAAACGGATTTTGATTTTTTAAAATATCTCGTTTGTTTACTATGACATGGGGGGTGGTAAGTTTTCAAATTGCCACCCTGTATATTAATAGGTAGGTAAATCAATAAACATCTCGCAAGACCACGTCATTAGTTTTATTTAGGTGATCTTAGTTCAAAATACAGTCACTACATCAGGCTAAGGAGAAAATGTCTAGCTTCCGTAATTAAATGAATTACACATATCACGTGAACATGACTTGCAATTAGTGTATGCCCTATTGAACCTTTCTAAAATCTCGCACAACGTACCTGTCCCTTGCTTAGAAGCGCACCCTCTTAAAACGTAACCTAAGTAATTTTAAACAGTAAATATCATTAGCATATCGTCCGGGTTACTCACCGTTTACCGTTTCCGCCGAGAAACAGAACGCTTCAGAATACGAACCATTCGCCGTACATGGTTGTGTGTAAGTAACACTTCCCTTTCGACAAGCAGCTGAACTGCCATGGCAATTTATACAGTTTAGAGCTACAATTAAATGAAGACTTGCCATAAAATGCCTAAAATCGATTGTACCTACCCTCTGATGAAGAAAAACTCCATAAGAATAGTGTAACGGTCGCTAACAAAATTTTGAAGTACATCACGGAGATTTAAATTAGAAAAGAATAAAATACACCTCTTACGACGTACGCCATGGATATTTATACCTGGTGATGAGTAGGAAGATTAGATTGGACGCTATCTGGTAACTGCTTTTATAATAATAATCTGTAGCGGATATTTCGTATCTTCATCTTATCGGGACTTGAAAATAAGTCGCAATTTCAAATTTTGGGATACATTTGTTACCTCTTCCTTTTTTTTTAAAAACAAAGAAGAAAGCAAAAGAAGTACAAATAAATGAAGAAATGACCATCTCTTTCTTAAAGTTAAATGGTTTTTTTTTTTTTTGAGTTGGATCCATCGTTCCTCGAAATGGGGGTTGAAATATATTATGTTATCAAATATTTATATTTTATTTTTGATAACATAAAGTTAAATGGTTTGTACCGCAAAAGCAGTTTATTATGTTTTCTATCAACGCGATGTACGGATGACCTTCTA